TCAAAATGGCCCTTAGAATTCTCCAACAGCCCAGAGAACAAAAGAACATAAATTTGAAGTAGTAAATACAAATAAAGTTCTTCCGTGATGTCATCACACTCCCATTCAGTATATTGACAAATCTTTTGCACCAATTCCACACTACAGTGGAAAAAAACGAAGCATTGGCAAATCATGACAAATCAGTGAAATTAATAGGTAATCTTCCAATCTGACCTACATTCGTGATGCATTCCCATAAACTCTTGTGATCAATTGCCAGCACCATAGGACGAAACACGCAAATTCAAATAGAAACAATTGATGCTTTTGGAATGATTATCACACTCTAAAAAGATTATGCGAATGCAAAAAAACTCTGAGCGAAAAGTGCGAAGCAAGCAAAAGCAACAGACATTTTTGAGATCTGTAGCCCATGTTACCTGTGCACCAAAAAGTATTCGTGCAATGTTTCGTCCAATTTGGTGAAAAAAAGTAGTCGCTATCTACATAGATATACATATACACTTACCCATACACATACATACGAAATTGGCTATCATGGTTTATCATAAACGCGTGTCTGTATGTGTGTGTATGTCTTATGTGTGTGCGTTATGTGGTATGTGTGTATGTGCGTATATAAGTTGTGTCTCTTTGTTACAGAATTAGTCCAGTTGTTCTTATAGAAGGCAGAGCAGTTATCGCTCATTACCATAATGGATTTTGAGTAAACATGAACAATTATTGCTGTAAAAGCAAAATCGGTTGTTCGTTCTAATGACGACGGACACTTCAACGTCTGGGTAAGATAGCTGCGCGCTTTTCATATCAATAAGGCATTGAGAGGTATGGGTAAACTTTGGCAAACTTTTAGCGCTTACAGAAGAAAACCTTTCAATTGTCTGATATCGCGATCAGAGCCATAAGATATGTTTTTATATGTGCTTTCTTAATGTTTTCATATTTGCTGCTAATTTTGCGAAAAAGTGCTAACGCGAACTTCTCGAAGAAGATGTGAAACACTAGTATACATAGATCTTAACGTAGTATAGTTGCAAACTGATTCTATAGAGAGCATGTGCAAATATTTTAAGAT